TTTTGTAAGACGGTTATTAGTCATTAGCCTATTCTGCATGGTTTAGTGTTCTTATCCAAGCTTTCATTTCACCAGTTGATGCGAGAGGCTCAAAGAACAGCACCAAGTATAATTTATATCCCACATATCCATTTGTGGTGGGAGGCTGTTGGAACGCCATTGAAAGCTACTTTTACATCACTAATGCAGAACATTCCAACGTTTGCACCGGTTTTGCTGCTTGCAACATCGGATGTGTGTCACGCCGATCTCCCGAAAGAGGTATTTCTGTCAATGCTTTTCTTTTTTATTCAATTTCTTGTTAATTTATAAGTCCTTTAAGCACTGAAGTACTGTACACTCCTAAACAAATTCGTACTGGTATTACTCAGGCACCCTAACCAGGTCTTTTAAAATCTGCTTAGACAAAACAACACCGAAGGCATTTGTCTGAAGTGTTTTCTGAGTAAAGGGATTGACTTGGACCCAGCTTTTTCTCCCTTCTCACACGCTCGTGCTTGTTAGATGGACATAAGAACTTACTTCAGACAGTAATTCCAGGGACTTCAAGATAGTTATGCATGTACTTAGTCAAGAATATACAGTGCTTGAAATGTAAACGGGAAAAAGGTATTTTACTGAAAAAGTACGGTGGTCACACTGTCAATGATGGAAAGTAATTTCAAACTTAAATTCTTTAACAAAAATTTCAATTTCTTTTTTCATCTATGTGAAAGCTTTACAAATTAGAAAGCAAAGTTCCAACTTCTTTCTTCAAGTTTCCAAGGAACTTGGCAATCAATTTTTAGTTGTATTAAACAACAAAATTCAGTAAGAGCACACGCTCAGCTTCCTAGCCATCTGAGAGTGTGCATTAAAGCAAGGCGTTCCAAAACATGAATATACTGCTGGGATTATTTTGCCTCCATTACTGGAGGAATGGGGTGATTACTCAGTTTGGTTTAGCAAGGTACTGTGGAATAGAATATGAGTTTGTGTGGCCTTGTATCTGCAAGACTTTTTCTCCTCATGCTGCAGATAAAGGAATTGTTTATTAATGATTATGAAGAAGTTTTTGAAGTCCAGTTGCCTAATGAGCAAGCAAGAAGAATGTTTTTTGAGGACTTGGTTGTGAATCAAGCTGCTAAACCTCCTGCATCAAGAAACAATGCAGGTGAGGATATTCTACATACAAAACTCTGCTAACTGTAAGTTAATAATAGTTTTTCATATGCTTGTATATGAGTACCATAAATTGACTAAAAAATTTCTGATTAACTGAAGCTTGGCGGCCATTGGAAGTACTACCTGTAGCACCGCCGCCTAAGCCTCGACAGCTAACAGAGGAAGAAATAAGACAGCTGGAGGAGCAGGAGGAGGATACGTTGCGTGAACTTAGGATTTTCTTAAGGGATGTGACTCACAGACTTGCCGTGGACAGACATTTCAGAGCATTTACAAAGCCTGTTGACCCAGAGGAGGTAAATTAGTGTTGATCTGTAATACAGTTTGATCTGTGTGTGTATTTGTCGGTGTTTGTGGACTCTTTATAGGAAGTTTTGTCTTTCTGTTTAGGACTATACTGTTTTGACTTTTCACGAAGCAGGAAGTGAATTTTGCTTTTACTTTTGCTGACTCCGTGAGGCTCTCAAATGTCTGTTAGTTGAGTATTCACCAAAAGCCCTGGGTTCCTTCTAAAATGTCTTTAGAACTTTAGAATATTTCAGTTGGAAGGGACCTACAATGATCATCTAGTCCAACTGCCAGTTAGACCAATTGCCAACAGAGTTTGCTCTTGGAAAGACTCTGATACGTAGGCGTGTTACAGCACTGAAAAGCGGAGCGATCTCTCTCTTTGTAATTATAAGCAGTACCTTATAAGACTGTTTTAATAAAGCCTAAAGCTCTTTATTTGACTGTCAATAGTTTCTGTGAGAACAGGAGTAGAGCAGCAGTTTTTAAAATAAATTTTAGGCTTCTATTCTCCGTTTCATCTGGGGCGCCTCAGTATAGGATCAACCATAAGGGCTGTGTGGTTTCTTCTTCCTCCCATACACTTCTTATGTCTCTTTTTCTCATTTAATTCATTGCATAAGTCTAAGCCAGGGGCATATACTTCAAAGTCAGCTGTAGTTTTAATATAGCTTTGTGTTTCAGCAAAGTCCTGTTCCCCTAAGCCTCCACGGACCTGTCTTTCCCTTTACTTCTACTTTCTGAGATGTGAATAGTCTAAACAAACACAGATGTCCTCATCTGATTGAGTCGTTAGGCTCCTCTTATGGTCCGAGTAAAGAAATCAGCACCTCTGGGTCCAGTTGTCTGATTCTAAAGTAGACACCTAGGACAGATGCTTCAAAGGTGCAACTCCTGCTGCCTTTTTTCTTGCTGCCAACAACAAAGAGAATCTTGGGTGACTTGACCAAGAAAGGTTTCTTTGCTGTGATTTTTCTGAAGCGAAATGAAATGAATCTCACGCTGGGTGTCTGTTCCCTTCTCTGTCCCACACGTGCTTCTGACCTCCCTGCTGCTTCTTGCCCCTCTTCCGGTCTGTCTCCTCAAAGCCAGCTGAAACAGCCCTTCTATTTTCAAGAAACAAACTGGCTAATTTCCGCCTCTTTGGATATGTCATGAATATTTGGTGTTCTTAAGAAGTCCTTGATTGGACTTTATTAAAATAATTAGTTTTAGTAGATAGCCTGTTAAATCTCTGAGCACGTACGTTTCATTTGTAGGTACCCGATTATGACACAGTTATTAAACAGCCCATGGACCTTTCGGCAGTTCTCTCTAAGATTGACTTGCACCAGTACCTAACTGCAGGAGATTTTCTAAAAGACATTGATCTAATCTGCAGCAATGCTTTAGAGTACAACCCAGATAAAAATCCTGGAGGTGAGGATGTGTTTTTGTCCCTCATTTGGAAGAATTTAAGATGTATAAATTGATAAATGTCGTCTGTGGACAGTAGACTTGTGATTAGATCATTTTAAACATCCACAGAGAGCATTTCTTGCCAGGTTGTAAATGTTGTAGCGTCAAACTACTTGGGCATGAAATTGTGATAGAAGTGTTGATCAGTAGCTAGTGCTTTTGCTTTAATAACGAACTTTTCTGTTGTTGTGCTGAAAATATTCACTGAGAGTTGATTTCAGAACGCACCTATGAAAAGAGCAAAATCTTTCTAAGCAGTCATACTAAAGGATTGCATTGGCTGGTAGAAAAACACTCAGTTCTGACTGTAAAATTTCAGATCGTCTCATCAGGCACAGAGCTTGTGCTTTGAGAGATACTGCATATGCCATAGTGAGGGAAGAAATGGATGAAGATTTTGAACAACGCTGTAAAGAAATTCAAGACTCTCGTAAGGAAAGAGGTATGTTTTTTTGACGCTAAGGATTTGAAGGCTTGTTTCAGTATCTGTAACCAACAATGCCAGGCACAATTCTTTGCTCTCTGTTCTTTATTGCAAGGTTGTAGCTCTTCAAACTACCACGTAACGCCAAAGCAGAACTCTGTTCCTGGGTGTAAGAAAACAGAGCCAAAGGGTAATGAAAAACTGAAGATGCCAGCAGCGCCTGTAGGTTCCAGTACACCCCGTTCGAACGGCAAGTTGCATTTTTCTTCAGACTTCTCGGAGAAGGTGCTAAAGTCACTGTTCTTGTGACATAACAGGTTTCTGTGATGCCTGGCTCTTTGTGCCAGAGGCGTTACATGTTTTGATTTGGTTCAAAATGTGAGATAAATCGAGAGGTCGTTCATTCAATATGGTTATGAAGTTCTAGTGCAGTGGTTGGCTTACACTGTAAAGACACTGGCTTTGATGGCCCAACTGACATGTAATGGCTCCTAAATTATTACCTCTTGAAGTCAAAACTGTTGTACGTGCTTCTGAATACTCAACTAGTTTTTAGTTGTATGAACGGTATTTTTCCCTTCACTGCCCTCAAATGCTAAACTCTATGCAACGTCTTCCTGTGATTACCAGTTGAAAGGGGAAAGCGGAAAAAAATAGGGGAGCAATAATAAATAGATATGTAAATGAAAGATCATTATTTCCTCACTTTTCCTTTTCGTGAAAAGGACACGAAGAACAAAGGGACTTGGGTCTCTTTCAGTCAAAACGCATGACATGGTGTGAAGTTCCCTGGTCTCACTGGCATGACTGGGAATTTTGCCATTGGCTTCACCCGTATGCTATGTGCAGTGCTCCGCGAATACAAAGAATGGCGGGTTTTCCTGGAAGGCAAAAATGCAAAGTTTGTTTTAAACAAGGGTAACCGAATCAGAAAGCATATGAGGTGCAGGTCTTCACGGACAATTTTTTTTCTCTAGCAAATACTCCCTTAAAATTGTCTCTTGAACTCTGCCCAACGTGTGTTTTAGCTTTTGAAGTTTACAGCTTTGAAACAGATTTGAAGAAGGGCTCGTCTCCTAACGCTTTTCTGTTGTTCATCTATATTGGTTTGTATGATAAGACAGCAAGCAACTGCACCTAAGAACCTTACTTTGCAGTAATGCTTCCTACCTAACGTAAGAATGTTCTGCTCCTAAAATCTTGAAGTGTCGGTTTTGTGGATGAAATTCTGTAGCTGGCTTTTTAAAATCTCATAGCAAATTGCCTTCATTACCTTGCAGCTCTTTCTCTAGACAGATGTAGGGAGACAGACAGTGGTACTTGAGCTCCTCTAATCATTTTCCTTGTAAGTCAAGTAAGATGAGGATGCTGGATTTTGAAGGAAGAATTGTTTTGGTAATGTTTTGGGTTCCTTTTTCTGGTATCTCTTTGTAGCTACATCAAAGAGAAAACTCACAAAAAGCACAGGGTCTTCAGGTATCGCAACAAAGAGGAGGAAATTTCAGTTCAATAAAGAGAATAAAGTTCCAGAAGACCAAAATGAAGTCGAGAGTGATGAAGAGGCTCCAGAAAAACATGTTTCTAACATGGATCGCACTGACGTTGAGTCCTCACAGGATTCTTCCGTGGAAGAGAATGAAAACATACTTCAAGAACGGCAGAAAAATAGGACTGGAAATAAACCTGGGACAGAAAATGAAAGAGAGAGAGTTCTCCTTGTGGCTAAATCTGCTTCTGAGAAGAAGAGTGTCATGCCTCCGGAAGGTTCAGAGCTAAGAGAGGAGAGTGAAATGCCGGATTACCAGATAGCAGAAAGTTCTGAAGAGGGAGAATCAAACGGTAAGTGAAAGTCAAACAGGTCATGCAGCTCCTTGTTCTTCCTGAGGAGAATGACACTATTTATGAGGTTTTAGCTTTCTTTAATTCTGTTCAGTTATTTCTGTTGTCTCTCTCCAAAATCAGCACACAGTATTTCTTGTATAATGATGCTGCCCCTCTAGTTATGCTAGCCAAACCCATGTTTTTCTGCAGCTGCTGCTTTTTTGATTCTGCACTTTGTTTTCCAAATGGTACATAATGGAAAAACAATCGTTGACTTTCTTTTATTGTATGAGGTTCTTCCCAGTAATGAGAGCAGCGTAAGTTAAAAAGTTGTCCTTCAAGCAGGGTGGACCCAGAGTCACGTGTGGAATACGAGACTTATGTCCTGATGTTTGCAATGTAAGATCTGTTTCCTTAACCTAAATTACTTTGGAGTTTTACCGTCCAGTGCTGTAATGGCAATGTGACTGTATCTTTTTTTTTTTTTTTTTTTTTGGGTCCTGTTTTTTTTCCTGTTTTTACCCTGCCTTTTTCTCCAGTGCTTTTTTTGTGTGCCTGAGTTTGTGTTTATGGAGCAGTGACTTTTGCCAGAAAGAAAGTAAAACTCAAGCACTTCTCAGTGAAAAAAATGGTTACAGTTCTGTGTCTGTCCTTACAGAGAGAGGCTGTATTCCAGGTACAGGATACTTCCCTGATACTGTATTCCAGATAAACAGAAATCCTCACTTAAGAAATTTGTGTTGTTCCAGATTCATGGGTACACTGTAGGACTCGTGCGAGGTGTTCTCAGGTAGACAAGCTACAGGTGATGGATGTCAAGAAAGTAACAGAAAATCGCACACAGCCAGTGATTGTGGATTACTATGTGCTCAAAGTAAGTC